ATGGTGCAGCTGGTTAAAGAAAACATGTTGACAGTTCCTCAAAAAGTTAAACATAGAATTACTACATGAGTCAGCAATTCCACTCCTTAGGTATATGTACCCCCAAAGGATTGAAAATAGATATCTGAACAAATACACATGCGCAATAGCCCAAAATTGGAAACAACCAAAATGTCCAGCAATGGATGGATAAATAAACCAACTGCTGTATATCCAGAGAATAGAATATTATTCAGCCATAAAAAGGAATAAAATACTGATACATGCTACAACACAGATGAACTGTGAGAACATTATGTTAAGTGAAAGAAGGCAGTCATAAAATGTTACAAATTGTATGATTTCATTTATTTAAATATCCAGAATAGGTAAATCCCTAGAAACAGAAAGCAGATGAGAGGTTGCCAGGGGTTAGAAGGTATGGAGAATGGGGAGTGACTGCTGAACACCACAGGGCCTCCTTTGGAGGGTGATGAAAATGTTTTAGAACTAGGCAGAGATGATGGTTGCACAACATCATAAATGTACTGAATGCCACTGGATTGTACACTTTAAGATGGTTAAATTTATGTTTTGTGAATTTCACCTAATTACAAAAGAAAATAGATAAACTAGACTTCATCAAAATTAAAAACTTTTGTTATACAAAGAATACCATCAAGAAAGTGAAATGACAAGCCACAGAATAGGAGGAAATATTTGCACATGATGTATCAGACAAGGCATTTGTAGTCAGAATATATAAAGAACTCTTACGAATGAACAATTAAAAGACAAATAACCCAATTTTAAAACGAGCGAAGACAAATGGACATTTTCCCAAGAAGATATATGAATGAATGGACAATAAGCACATGAAAAATATTCAACATGATTAGTCATTAGGAAAATGCAAACCATGAGATACCACTTCACAACCACAGGGTGAGTGTCATAAAAAAGAGATAAGAAACGAGTGTTGGCAGGACGTGGAGAATTTGGAACCCTTGTACACTGCTGGTGGAAATGCAAAATGGTGCCACCTTTTTGGAAAAGCCTGGCCGTTCCTCATAGTAAGAGTTATCATATGGCCCTGTAATTCTAATTCTATGGAGAAATGAAAACAAATTGTCCACATAAAAACCAGTATAAAAATGTCTGTAGCAGCATTATTCGTAATAGTAAAAAAAGTAGAGATAAACCAATTGTCCATCATATTTTCTGGCAATAAAAAGGAATGAAGTACTGATACATGCCACAACATGGATAAACCTTGAAAACATAAAGTAAAAGAAGCCGGGCACAAAATGCCACATAT